AAAAAAAAAAAAAAAAAAAAAAAAAAAAAAAAAAAAAAAAAAAAAATTGTTACACGATCACTCTCCTCCCCGCTCAATATTATTATTACTGTCTTTCTTTAATTTCTATTCGAATTTACATTTCCCAGCGGCTCTAAGAGCGTCGAGCCATAATAACTCAGTCCGTCTCTCTTCCTCGCGCCCATTCAGAGGCGAAAACGTTGACGGAGACCGAGCGAGACGAAAGCCAACTATAATAATATCGTCGGCAGCAGGAAGCCTCGTGGGAGGAATACCGCACCGTAGTGCTCGAAGGAAATGACGCCGAACAAATAGACCGACGAATGTAAGCAGCCCTTCCGCAGGAAGGTTCCTGAGGGCGCGATACTAACCGGCAAAGAGACGCGGAGTCCCGGAGGGAATCGCGGTCGCCGTGAGATTTTTAGCTAGTTTCATTAAAAGTATCTCCGGAGTATTAAAAAAAAAAAAAAAAAAAAAAAAAAGGAAAAAAAAAAAAAAAAAAAAAAAATTTCATTAAAAGTATCTCCGGAGTATTAAAAAAAAAAAAAAAAAAAAAAAACAGGAAGAAAAAAAAACAACATGGCAAAAGACACGGGAGTGAGCGAGATAAAGGATGGAGAGTGCCTCGAGAACGAGAGAACCGAGAAGATATAAATTACAATTATACGTTAATTCCTACCGAGGGGAACAACGCCCGGACGAGGTCTGCGCGCGCAGAACTCGTGCGAGGATTAAATTGTGCGACATATTAAACTTTGCGTATTAGTCTTACTTATATTACGCGCTGAGAGGATAAAACAGCGGAAATCCCTGGATGAAAGACGCTAATATTTTCTAACGCCTCGTACGTATACATTGACCGGACAGAGAGAAATAGATGGAAAAAAAAAAATAATGAGATCTCTTATTTTTTTTTTCTTTTTTTTTTTCTTCTATTTATTCACACGACCAGCTAACGATTTCATTAATTGCGTCAATTGTTCTTGTACTCACTCGCGTTTCATTTTCTTTTTCTTCTACCATAATGATCGAGCAGGTATATATCTGTAAATTCGAAGAAAACTTTCGCGCTCATCCAAATTTTGTATACTCCGGTCAACCCTCGGAATTCAATTTTCTTCACGGTACGAGAGCACCTGCTTTAATCACTGTCCGGCTTTGTACTGATAATTCACGTAGAGGCTTTATCGATGCTTCTATATCAAACGCCCACCCTCCCTC